TTTCAGCTAAATAAAACTGATCGCATTCACAAGGTATTTTATAAATGCAATTCTTTGTCCTTTCATGTTCATCGTTAGGTTTAGTTTTGGACAAAATAGATCTCAACGTGTTTGTTGTTTTGAATGTTGTTGAAATGTTGAATTTATTGCATATCCTTTTAAGTTTTTCTGATAATCCTTTTATGTACGATATTGTTATTTTCCTCGTATTATTTCTTGTGTATGCTGTAGAATCTCGTTCTAAGTTGTTCTGTTTTATTCCATCGATTGTTGAAAATTCTTTATTTATAAACGATAAAGGATAATCATTTTTTAATAAAACAGATGTTAACAAATGTTTCTCCTCCAAGAACGAATTTTCGTTAGAACAAGTAATTTTGGCTCTATCGTATAAGGATTTAATTATTCCGTTTTTACGTTAATATTGTGATTTGATTTAAAATTTAAATATCTATTGGTGTGTGTTGGTTTTCTATACACCTAAGTCTGATATCCAGTATCGTTCTTAGAGATTAAAACATCCAGGAAAGGTAGCGTGTTATTATATTCCTTTTCCATGATAAATGTTATTGTCTCTTCTTTATCGTTTATATCATTTAGGAATGTGTCCAACAACTCTGATCCATGAGGCCATATTGAGAATACATCATCTACATACCTCCACCATACTGTGGGTTTTAAATTTTGTTTAGAAATGATATTTGTTTCAAAATCTTCCATAAATATATCGGCTAAGAATGGAGATAAACTAGAGCCCATTGCTAGACCAAAATTTTGTTTATAGAATTCATTATTTAGTTAAAAATATGTATTATCAGTGCATAATGTTAATAACTCCATTATAGCCGATATGTTTAGTCTTGTTCTAGTTGCCAATGAATCATCACTCTCTAATTTTGTCTTGACTATACTTAAAGTCTTATTTAATGGCACATTTGTAAATAAACTATTTATGTCAAAACTTACCAAAGTATTATTTGAATTAAATTCAATATTTGATAATTTATTTAAAAAATGTTGTGTATTTTTTATGAATGTGTCATTTTTATTTATAAATGATTTTAAAATATTTAATAAAAATTTTGATAGTTCACTACAAGGAGAATTCATGATACTACAAATGGGTCTAAGAGGTATATTCGTTTTATGAATTTTCGGTACTCCATAAAAATGAGGAGTCTTACTGTAATGAGGTGTAATTAATCCTCTCTGATAACTTGATAAAAAATCTTTAAACTTGAATAAAGTTCTATATATTTTGTTTTCCAAAGGCTTTGTTGGATCTTTTGTTAATTTTGTATAAGGTCCATTTATTATTAGATCTTTAATTTTGTTTTCGTATTGAATTTTATCCATTATCACAGTTGCATTCCCCTTGTCTGCTGGTAGGATGATAATGGAGTCGTCATTTTTTAAAGTTCTTATAGCCTTTAGTTCCTCTTTGCTTATGTTTTGTTCAATTTTAGTAGATTTTTCCAATTTAATAATTTCCAATTATACGTTTTAAAGTCGTCTACTTTAAAATGCATAATGTATGTCTGAATTGTCAATATAAATGAGTCAGATAAAATTAAATTATTAGAAGAATTTTTCACTATGTAACAAAAAACAAAATTTGTTTAATTTACTGTTTGTATTTTGAGAACGATTTCCGAAGTGGAAATTGAAACGTCAATAAACGTAATTTTATCTTTAATTGTGGCTTATTCCCAGTTAAATAGCAATTAAAGAAACTAAGGGGGTTGAGACAGGGCAAGTAAACTAATCGAAACATATGCGAACATCACTCAGGGTTTGTTAGGAGAGCTGGGGTCGTAGATAAGTAAATGGCAAGTGGTCGGATTGGAGCAACTATAGAAAATTGAAACAAAGGGATACTGAAACTCTTGGGACATATAAAACAAAACACAGAAAGGAAACAGGAAGCACCTCTAGTAATTTAAAAAGGACCCACTTCGAGGTGCCTAATTATAACCATTGCAACAGCTAGTTGTAACTATCGGAATAATTAATAAAAATGAAAAAAATATCTTTTTCAAACGAGACTCAAAAAAGGTGAGTTAAAAAATAAACAAAATTTTAAGAAAAAAATTTAACCATTTATTGTGTCTTACCACAAACAGTTACAAAATGGACTATATAAAAACACTATATTAATAGTCACAAATATAATAGAGAAATAAATTACTGCAATTAAAGAAATATCTTTTAAAAATAACTATCATTAAAAAAAGGTTAACCTTTTTTTTACAAAAAACTAATAAAACTAGCAGTTATATGTTTATATTTTTACCTCATTAGGTATCATCCGAGCGATACTATAGTGTCTGGGGACTCGGAAGACTGAGCCCTCGGAAGCCCTGAGGAAGACATCAGAGAGGATGTCGAAAGCTCGGCCCAATGGATATCGACGCCGTTCAACTCGGAAAACTGGTTTTATTATTAATTTTTGTAATAGTATTAATCTTAGCTCTAGGTGTCACTGTACTAACCGCGGAAATCTTTCCGAACATATATATATATATATAATATATATATATATATATATATATATATATATAAAAATATTCAATAGTTGAATAGCAGAGGTTGTATCGGTCAATAATAGGCAAATGAAAGTCGTCAACTACTTCATTGATTTAATCGAATACATTTCGCTTTTTAGTTTTCAAAAGCATCATCAGTTCACTACAAATAAAAATAAAACGATGTAAAATATAATTGTAAAAATATTTTGAAAATAGGAAAGAATTCTTTCCCTATTTTCAAAATATTTTTTTTTGTAGAAAAAAATATTCCTTTTTGAAAAATAGGGCTGTCCCCGTTCTGCTTACTAACTTTTTTAATAATTGTACCTCACTGCTTTCCGAAGAAACATATGGACGACACATGCCACATGTGTAAATATGACAGCCTAAAACCGATAGAAAACATTCCAAGAGATTATTGTGTTGGGTCTTCGAAAAAGCTTACACCCACATTGAGATGAAGCCATCGGTAAAAATTAAATAAACAATAGTGCTGTTTCAGTTTTTTCCTGTGTGTTTTTTGTTTCGATTCTATCGTTTAGTTTTTAAATTTTTTAATGTTAAGTTATCGTAGAGTGTTTTTAACATGTTTTACAAAACCTACAAATTGTTTTTGTAAGTATGAACCCTTTTGGTTATTTACTTATATTTTACATCGTTTTATTTTTATTTGTAGTGAACTGATGATGCTTTTGAAAACTAAAAAGCGAAACGTATTCGATTAAATCAATGAAGTAGTTGACGACTTTCATTTGCCTATTATTGACCGATACAACCTCTGCTATTCAACTATTGAATATTTTTTAAATTTAATCAACGGTCGTATTTTTTTTGCTATATATATATATATATATATATATATATATATATATATATATATATATATATATATATATATATATAAATATATATAGTTTGAGTTTAGTTCTTGAACTTAATATATATTTTTTAGTGGATTATCTTGGGCTTAGGTTCATAAAAAAAATTAGTTTGATACTAAGACATTTTTATATATATTTTTTCCGACGTTTCGGCAGGAAATCCATGCCTTTTTCAAGAAGTAATATTGACTAAAAAAAATTTATGACAGACATAATACGGTTTAAAAGTTAAACTTTTGACTTACCAAGCATGTAAAAATTCGGTATTAACAAGTAGACGTCACAATTAAAATAATATTAAAACATAGGACATACCCACTAAGTCACTAAATGTAAAATATATTTTAAATCTAATGTGTTGTTTATTGATGTTAGTTTATCGTTTAAACAATCAGTTACTTTAACATCATAGGCGTTCTGAGATTGTCTTTTTATCTGTTTTTAAATTAAGTTAAAATATATTTTCTTCAAATTTTAGACATCTTTTTTATCATTTATTGCGTTATAATTTTTTTTATTTGTATAGACTCTAGAAGCTCTCTCTTCTTCCTGTTGGGTTCACTTTTTAGGATCTTGATTTTCTCAAAATCAAATTTATGTTTTTTTTCGTTTTCATGTTTTGTCAGGGCGGTTGAGTTTTTTTTTTATCGTATTTGTGAGAACGTATTCTTGAGTTAAGTAGCTGACTGGTTTGTCCAATATAAACTCCATCACAATTCGAGCAGGGAATTTCATATACAACATGCGATCTTTTTAATAGAGGGGTTTTTGTTTTCAATCTTGTAAAATTCCTTTTCAAAAGATTGTGCCCTTTATGAGCAACCGTAATATTATGTTTAGACAGAAGATTTGCAATTTGTTCTGATAATCCTTTTATATAGGGGAGAGACATATAGTTTTCTTTACCGTGTTGGTTTCATTGTTATTATTGTTATTGTAAAATTTATGCAGTTGCGCTTTGAAAGTGTTGTCGATAGGGTATGAATTCAAAACACTTAATTCATACCCTATCGACAACACTTTCAAATTTCCTTTCAAATCATTTTCAATCGGTTGTTTAATAACTGTAGTATTATATCAAAATTTGTAATAAAGGTTTGCGTAAACATAGACACTTCCTCTGTCAAACTCACCTAAAATAAATATAAAAAATAGAAGAGACATGGAAACCTTAGTAATAAGTTTTGACAGAACGAAAAAGTAAATCAAATTTAATGTCATTATGTTAATTAATTTTGCTAATTTTAAAACACAATCCTCACAAGGGTAAGCCTATTGAAGATATAATAACTTCATTTTTCTAATGTAATTTTTTATGTTAATTTTTAGTACGTTTTGAAAAAGAGTACAATAAACTCGAAAGCTTAACAAACCTAAAAGAGTTTTACTTAAAGGCCAATATTGACTACTAAACCCAAGATATCCGTATATATTACTCACATAGTCACTAAAGCCCGTTCTAAAAAAAAAGAATATATATATATATATATATATATATATATATATATATATATAAATTTGTCTTAGTGCTATATAAATATAATGAGCTAAATCATAGAATCATCGATAAACTACCTATTAAAATTAATACCTTCCTGATGCGTAAATACCGTCTCTCTGTTCTTGTTTTCCTTGCTCTCCTCCCTTATCTCCGACTATATTGTAACCATACTCATACTTTGGAGGATTCTGTAAGAAAAAAAATATATTAGAGCTCTACCTGAATTACTTTTGTAATTTTTGAAAAGGGTGAAATTCACACTGAGGGTACAGTACGGCTAAGATAGAGCACTGCTTTTCTTATAGATAATAAACGCACAGCATTGTCGGCCTTCTACAGCTAATCATTTTTCACTCAAGAGCGTCGCACAGGAGATCGAATAGTTTCGAAATGAAATTTACGAAATTAGACAAACATTGTAAAATATGTACAAATAGGTGTGTATATACGTGATGTGAAAACATTAATCATATTTTTTATAAGTGATGTCATTTAACGAATTCGAATTATTCCTGGAGATATATATTTAATTTGATGAGTTACTAACAATGCAAAATATTAATTTTACTTATAAAACGTCAACGTGGCATATAATTTAAAAATAAGTTAATCGCGCAGAATAAACACATTAACAAATATTGCTCGATTAATGCAAAATTGAATAAAATTCGTAAAAGTAACATTCATTTTGCAAAATTTTCGCTGCAAATTATTAACATTACCATAAACAGCCTTGCTATCCCTATTTGCATATACTAACCAGGCATTTAATTTGTAATTACGGATGGGTAAGGGTGAAAGTAGGGTTGCAGGTGGATACTTCTCTGCGATCCCGGCAGGGGATAGATCTACTTTAGGAATAGCACACTGTCACTGTCAAAAATGAAATAGATTATATCCTAACTAAAGATATTTATATGAATAAAAATGTCCCAGTTGGAAATTAAAATCGACCTGTTTTAGCATTTTCATAAAATCCAATAATTATTTTGGAGAAGTATTTTGTAGACATTGGTTGGACCTTCCACGCTAGAATTTGTATTAGCCCAAATGACCGAAGAGGCAGGGACACCGAAATAATAGTTATATCGTTTTATTGATATTTTGCTGAAAGCTTATAATCGTTCACAAAAAGTGAAATCATTGGTATTCAATTATTTTTCACAATGAGTAAACGCTTCTACGTTCAAATGTTAGCATGTTATTTCAACTACGTGTTTTTCCTATTCCTTTTCGTTGTTGCCTTCCTAAAATATATGAATATGTCGATGTTGTTGTCCTGAGTTACCAATTAAGTGGTGTACTGATAATAAGTCTATTATTCTTTTGTTCTAATTTACTTAAATGATTTATAAATTGAGTACTTAATGTTTAGAATATACAAAAATATAATATTCAGTTTAAAAATAAAACGACCAATATTTTCGGAACAGTAAATAGCTGTTAATTATGTAAATACACCAATCAGATCTAGATCAATAGTATCTCGAAGTAAATCGACAACACGAAAAAATTTATGTGTCCATGTACCAGTTACTTTAAACGAACGTGTCATGATTTTTAGATATAGATAGACATCAAACAGAAAACATTGGACAATAAATGTTGATTTGCTAAACAATAAATTATTAATTTTACTTTCTGTTACTAATACAAATCATAAGGATCAATTGACCTGGTCTACATTTGCAAAAGTGAGGGGTAAAACTGTACAAGGACTAATAAAAATTATGACTGGATAATAAATACGTATTCAATCGAGTAAATGATCGACGAATTAATACCAACACGATCGAGAGCACAAAAATTTTGATGTTTCTTAAACCTTTGAGCAGCAGTTTCAAATTAGCTAAATACATTTGTATAATACAGGTAATAATCTTGCCCAACTTCATCAATTTTCATTTCTCTTTTAAGACGTAAATATACCATGAGACCGTTATATACCTACTGGGATTCATGGTTGCCATGGTGTTCTTTTAAAATGTGATACACAACAAAATTAAAACTTTGCAATTTTTTTTTAAATGCATATTAATTAAAATTTTCTCTCACAATAGAAATATCATGAAAAAGAAAAGTCGGAGTAATTTTCAGCTTATCCTAGATGAACCCCCCTATCAATACGAAGACACATTTTTTTAAATTATGATGCCAGATTGTCTTTTAACCCTAATAGTATAAACCATCCACGTCTTTACAAAACTCTTCCACCTACTCATTACCATAAAAAAAGTAAAATATCTACTCCTTAAAGAACGTTTAACGAGATATGGTTTTGACATGGAGCAGCTGACACATTCTTTATCCTACACGAGCTATAACTCACGTGACTACTAATATTTCCACTATTGGTATTGATATATCCCTCACAAACTATCCAAAAAGTACCACAAACCCATAATGATTAACAACCAATATCAAGAACGGATAAATACACTGGCTATAACAAAATTTTTACTGTCGGTGTAAAATTTGAAAATTTTGTAAAAAATTTGAATATGTCGGTGCAAAAGACATACAGTTATCAGACATTAACCAAAGATAAAAAATGTATTAAATTACACAAAAGCAAAGATAAACATATCGTTTTCTAAGAATCGTTATTTTTTTAAATCTCTTGTTTTTAGAATAAACCTAACAATTATGATCTCTCACAAAGTGACTAGTTTCGACCGCTTATCAATTAATGTGATAATTTTTCGACTGTTCTAACAACCATTCAAATTTCGTCATTTTGTGTCATGTGGAACAATTTCACCCAATCATGTCAACATTAGACTGATAATTGCATTCAGTGCAATTTTCAATCCCTATGACAACACGATCGAGCTTGACAACTTCATCCAAATAAATTTCAAAATGTCACGTTTCGGCATTGAGAATGTTCAAAGTATAAATGCAATCAGAATTCTATAAAACCATACTTGAATCTCGATCAAGAACACCACCACAAGATTATAAATATTATGCGTGGTAATAGATCTTCTATAGTAGAGAACAGCAACGAATCTAATGTTAACTTAAATTTTAATAATTGTACTTTCACTAACTGTACTTTTAATAAATAAATGTTTCGTTATATTGAGTTATGATTTTTTTTCGAAAAATTATCAGCCGAATATCTCTCGGACGTTGATGAATGCCTCATAATTTCATGACAAATTTCTCAAGCTCGTTGCTCAGCCTTTGGCTTCGTGCTGTTACCAAGGAACGAGCTTTCAATTGTCATGAAATTATCTCGTCTGTTATCAATGTCCTAGGGATATTACTACTGATAATTTTTCGACTGTTCTAACAACCATTCAAATTTCGTCATTTTGTGTCATGTGGAACAATTTCACCCAATCATGTCAACATTAGACTGATAATTGCATTCAGTGCAATTTTCAATCCCTATGACAACAGGATCAAGTTTGACAACTTCATCCAAATAAATTTCAAAATGTCACGTTTAATTAAATTTTAATAATTATACTTTCACTAATTGTACTTTTAATAAATAAATGTTTCGTTATGTTGAGTTATGATTTTTTTTTCGAAAAATTATCCGCCGAATATCCCTCGGACATTGATGAATGCCACATAATTTCATGACAAATTTCTCAAGCTCGTTGCTTGGTAACAGCACTCAGCCTTCGGCTTCGTGCTGTTACCAAGGAACGAGCTTTCGATTGTCATGAAATTATCTCGTCTGTTATCAATGTCCTAGGGATATTACTACTGATAATTGATTCACTTTCCTAATTTTGTTAAACGCACCTCAGCCAACCTGTTTCTGTTGATTCCAAAGAAAAAGGTGATATACATTAGTAGAAAAAGATCTTTCATTCTTACTGAAAGATTTAGATTTCTACAGAAGACTTATTTGAATGTTCTATAAATTTATTATTTTTTGAATTTACTTTTTGAAGTACTAAATAAGGACATCGTACATATATACAATTTTTACATATTATAAAGGCCGGTTTTCATGCTACGTTTTCTTGTACGTTTTGTGGGTCATATAAAACGTACGACGTTTTCTACCTCATTTTTGTTCAGACTCTTGAGTTGTGTGAAGTTTGTTTAGTGATTTTTTTATTATGGAGGAAACACGACTGCTTTCTTTTATTTTTTTAACTATAACTATACTAAGACTGAGAAAAAAGGAAATAAAGAGGAGAAAGACAAGATGGTCAAGAGAGTGGCTTCTGAAAAGAAGCTAGTATTTCCACGACTCGTTACTAAAAGAACTGAGAGGCGAACCAGATGACTGGCGCAATTATTTGCGAATGGACACCTCAGCCTATTGTCAATTGCTAGAGTTGGTAACACTATACATCATACATATTGAAACAAGACAACTGCATGAGAAAAGCCATTACGAACCATGAAAGATTCACAGCAACTCTCAGATATCTTGCAACAGGACGCAGCCTCAAGGACTGGAATTCACAACCATAATATCCAAACCAGCGTTAAGCCAAATAATTCCTAAAACCTGTAATGCTTGGTTTTAAAACAAAACTACTAATAACTAAAGCTAAACGACTATTTGTTTGGTAGTTATAAATAGGTAGAGGTTTAATAAAGTTTTTCTTTAATTTGCACACCAAAAAGTATAAAATAGAACGTAAGCATTTTTTCCCTTTAAAGACTACAGAAAAATATATAAAACTATAGTCTTTATTTTTCACTTGCCTAAACACGAAAAACTTTTATAAAATTCAATAAATTATCCGAGAAAATCGTGGGTGCATTGCCGCAAATCTGACATTATTAGGCTTTTTTAGTAAAAATGAGGCGAACTGCAGTGCAGCTAGTCGTGTCATATCCAGCAAAACGTACAATAAGATGTAATGTGAAAATCGGCCTATAGATATCTACACTTACCGGATCTCCATCGGTCTTTTGTGGCTCTACATATCCCGGAGGTTTGACAGTGTGAGAATACGCGAAGAGCAGTATAAACAGTAACAGTGACGCCTGAAAAGAGAAAAAAATATAAATATACGAAATTTTTTGACGTATTATGGTTGGTAAATATATATCTAGAATCTATTTCAAATGATAAAAATTCCTAAGCAAAAAATATCTTTAATAAAGCAGAGGTTAGCAGACGAGTTCATCAGAATTAGATGGATATTATTCTGATGAACAAAGGCAAGTACTTTTAAACACTCTTCCTGATTTTGAGGTAGATATC